GGTGCAGGGAGATGATGGATGGACTCAAAGCCACCCAGGAGCCTGCATGCATTGAGCCCCAGGCAGTGCCAGGGGCATAGCAGGGAGAGGGCACAGCCCACAGGGAAACATGGGAAGACCTAAGATTGAAGGTACCACTGAGAGAAGGCCCAGCCCTCCCTGGCTGCACAAGATCCCATCAGTCTCCAGCTGGGGGCTGGGGGACACCCGGGGGTCCCCACACTGTGCCCACCTGTATATGGATATGTTCTCCACCATCTCCTTCGTGTCTGCATCCTGCAGTGAGATGCCCCTCGGAGACACCGTCAGAATCACTTTCTGGAACTTGCGAGCTCCAACTCGTGCCTGGTAGTGGGAAGACACCAGCAACCTCTGCAAATCTGGCAAGGGTCTTCACCCCACTCCTCACTGGAAGGAGCCCCCAGACTCTGTAGGGACTGTCACACACTTGGCCTCTTGCTGCAAAGGCTCCTGGTGTAGGGATGGGAGGGCAGAGCCTGGAGATCAGGCATGCCCTGCATGGAACACTTTGAAATCCATCCACACTATTGCCCCACACCCGGGAAGGGACAGACCACACCTCCCCCGGTACTTCATCCTCCCCTGTGTGCTGTGACAGGCACAGGTCTGCTCCCGGCCGAGTGCAGATGTGGGAGCAGGTGGCAGGGGCTGTCCTGCAGGAAGGCAGCACAGCCTCCTGCTTCCCTTCCCTCTCCTGGGAAGGGCACAGTCCCTCACTGGAGCTCAGGGCTGGGATACACAGTCCCCAGAGTCCAGGGCCTGGGCTCTGGCCCCAGCACAGCAGGGCCCGAGGGCTGGCTCTCACCGTGGCCACGATCCTGCGGATGGCAGCAGCAGCCATGTCTTCTCCTTTGGGTTTTTCTACCAGCGTCATGCCTAGATACTTGAGAGTGAAGCACATCCCCTCAAGCAACGGCTCCTGCATATCAGCCCAGTTCTCAGGAAGCTCTGCAAAGACAAAACCCCTTAGAAGCCACATGCCAGCAGTCCCATGGATGATCCCAGCAGTCACCCCACCTTGTTGCAGCTTCACTTCTCCCTGCAGCAGTGCTGCTCCTTGTGCTCAGCAGGACACCCTCCTGGCTCTGTGACACTCTCAAAAGAGGAACAGAAGGAGCAGAGTTCACCCTCGAAGCTTTAGTCCTCCATCCCTGGAAGTGCAGCTCTGCCAGGACAGACAGAGCTGCTGTCTATCTCACAGGGCTGAGGACGCTGCAGCACACTGATGTCTGCAGAAACCTGTGTTCTCAGATCTCATCTGTCTCATTACAAGCAAGATGTTCTCTGGTGCATTCACCTCACCCACCTGAGCCGCTGGCACACCTCAGGAGCAGCAGCATTTCCTGCCACGCTCAGATCAACCCCCCAGTTTGCCCCAGTGTAACCAAAGCCAAGCCCCCTGGCAGCACATTCACAGCAGCAGGGAAGGGACCGGGCAGCTCGGCCAGCACTCAGGACCCAAGCTGGGGGAGTGGGAAGGAACTGCACCACAGAGACACTGTGTTAAGAAAGAACTGGGAATTGCCTAGCTATGCACTGTTCACGCTAAGCTAATACTTTTCAGGGTTATTTTCACCTCTTCCTTGGGATTCGCTCCCTGAGCATTACTGGCACACTTGCAGAAGGGTCCAACTCATAATTGGAATAATCTGAACCCACAGGGAAATCAGGAGACCTTATTTGCACAGCATACTGCTGCTCAAGTGACAACTGCCAGGGAGTCTGCCTGGTGCCACACGGGCATCACTGACCTCCACCCTGGGCAGCAGAGCCCTGTGCCGTTCCAAACTGAGGACAGCCCACGTGTGCCAGGGCTGCCAGGACTGCCAGGG